TGTGAAAAAAAAAAAAACAAAACAAAACAAAACAAAAAAAGATAAAATCTAGTTATTTCTGTGATCTCCTTCCATAAAAAATCTATGGCTCAAATAAACAGAACAGATCAAGAAAGCCAAACTACTTTTCAATATGACTTTTGCAAGAACACATAAATCCTTCTATAGTAAATTGAGAAAGATGAGTAAGTTCAGAAAAATAAAATCACGAAATGGCTTGCGGCATTTCCACAAAGATAAAAACACATTATAAAACATGCCTTTATCAGGTCGTCAATTGAACGAGTTTCTCTGATGATTTTCTGACGGTTTATAATGAGAACAGCTGCTACACAGAAAACAGGCAATTCATCGTCACCATTTTTTGTTGATGATACAAGGGTACGTATCTGAAAATGGTCACTCCTTGACCAGAAAGTTTTTGTCAAGCCACAAAATGGTCTGGCTGCTAGTGATTCAATTCCATTGTCAGAAATCGAGCGCTCCACAGTTCCATGTTTTGAAGGATTACCGCCACAATCAGTGCTTTCTTCGCCAGATTCAGTTTCTGCTTCCTTAGATAACTGTATAGCCAATACTTCCGGGCAATTTTCATCCAGAAGACAAGTCAATGTAACATTAAAATCAGCAGCCCAAATCATCTGCACGCAAAAATCACAAACTGAGCAAAATATGTCTACAGATACCATTTTCATAAATATCCTGGCAATGTAAACGCATGATTTTTTAGAAAATATCCATAAAACTTCAAAAATTTATTCATCAGACATGCATTAACATGATGACAAGAACAATATTTCTTTGTGTTTCTTGATTCTGAGAACAAATTATCCATTCAGTTTATTGAAGCTGGTAATGGAAAAATATTACATCCAGTATCTGAGCATTATCATCAGAAACAACCATGCATCATCAGAAAACCCACTAAACTCACTCTATATACTAACAAAGTTGACACTGGGTAATCATCTGTTTTTCACCCACTCAAAATAGCAAAAAAAGGATTTTCTGTGTGAAAAAACATCATTCTTGCTAGTTGATTATAGATAACAGGATAGATAATAGGTCAACCGACTTCAAATTCAACCAAATGTATACTTTATGAATTTTTGTTAACACTAAGCAAAAAAAGCAAATCTGATGCTAAATACCTAAAACAAAACAGTATAGAAACTCAATATCCTTAGAACTAAAAAACACATGGTCATGCTCCAATCTAAATAATGTCGTTGGCCGTATTTGTCCGTCAAATATATTTTTGAGAATATGAAGAATCGTAGGTTGGTTGATAATCTTTCTCCGAGGAGCCAAATGTAAGTTGTGAATCATCAGATGTCATAAAAGATGGAGTTGAATACAGAACTAATGGATTTGTTGTGCCACTAGCATTTTGATGCAGTATCACCATCTTTTCAATACTGACAGCATCCGACCATTATCATACTCGTTTGCTTATTAGTTTGTCATTATGATAATTGGTTATTTATGACACAATAATTGCCGCCAATGGCTCTTTCTCACTTGATGTGGTTCTTAGAGGCATCATTCTTATTTTAATATTGATTTTCACCAAGTAAGTGTTGAAAAAAAAAAAATCCACTATCTGCTTTCAGCTGGGGGTAAAGATTTGCCAAGGAACCTCGTATTCATTTTCTTTATTAAAATGCTGCTTTCTTAAAATTTCCCGGCTATCGAGTTGGTACTCAACCCCTAAATCTGTTGGTATATGTCCTCAAGCAGTAGCTTTGTGTGAACCGAAAAATAACCCTAACCAATTGACACACACATGAATCAATGATAACAAAAACGATGAAGATATACAAATTTTAAGCACAAACCTCCCACATGCAAAGAGCTTCATTGAAAGATAATTCTCGTCGGAAGAGTACGAGGAGCATACGGAAAGCAAAGTGAAGGCTCTGGGCACCTATGTGGGACAAGTGAGAAAACATCTCCCTGTCTGTAAGTTCTAATATATGCCAGAGAGCTTGCAACTGCTTCATGACACCAGTTGGCCCTTCCATCTTAAAGTTTTCTCGCTGAAGAATCATGATTTATGAAGATTTCAACAAACTAAAGAAGAGCAGAAAAGAACAAAAGATCACATAAAACAGCAATTCTGTCATGTACCATTCTCCTTAAAAGCATCTCAAAGCACCAAAAAGCATCAGCATTATCTTCAAAAAGCACTATAAAGGGGGACAATAAATCGCTCATGCCTGCAGACAAGTAAGAATATAAAGTCAGTGCCAACTCCGATTGCGTAAATTGGCATTACGATAAAATCAGGATTTCTAATAATAATAGAAAAACGCACAACCTTGGCAATATCCTGTTGCAGGATCAACCCATGCATAGACAGCAAGAATATCTGACATCCGTGCTAAATTTTTTGTGTCCTCATAAAATTCAAGGTGACTATCCGTTCTGACCACATCAACGACTGAAGAAGGAAAAGATAAGACCTAATTTACTCCATCAAATTGTTAAAGGAGAAAAAGGAACAAATTTTGGTTCAGATGACTTTAACTTATATATATATAGTATATCATATATATATATGTACATATATATATATATATATATATATATAGAGAGAGAGAGAGAGAGAGAGAGAGAGAGAGAGAGAGAGAGAGTTATACCTATACGATGCAGTGTCCAAAGCCATTCAGACACTCTGTCTTCACTGGCTGCTCCTTCTTGGGATGTTGTCGCATATTGGGCTGGCAATTCTGGTGCATCCGATATTCTAAGCCCATTGAACAATTCTGGCCCATATTCCAAGTTACTTGGCCGGGAAATGGATTCACGCATGTCAGAATTGATAATGTCACTTTTGGGGTTATCATATAGTGACACACTATTAGATGGGAGACTATCTGATTCCACTACAAGATCTGCATTGTTGTCAATTTCAAAACTGTGCATATGCTCATCATCATATCTCAACTTGCGCTTTGATGAGTTTTTGCCCTCATGTAAACTATCTACTTTTGTATCTTCATTATTCTCTTCAAACAAATCTCTAAAAGGTAAAGTGGGAAAATCCAAATAATTTTCAGCCATATAATTTGGCTCATGAGTTTCATGAGCAGTTGGGAAAGTATAGTTGCATGGATCAGGGGATGGTGTACGACAAGTCGAATCATAAGCTCCTCCCATGGCACTGTCTCGTACACATACAAGGTCACCAGAATCATCAGAACCCTCCTTTTCACATGTGTAAGATTTATCGGAAGATTTGCGGTTCATAACAAAGTTATCTTCTATATTGTTAGAAGTGGCATCTGTAAATCGTGCACTTTGAACTTCAGTATCCCTTCCCCTATCTTCTTTGGAACTAATCCTCATGTCCATGACTTTTGACCCTACAATATAGGCCAGAGAACCAGTTCCGATGCTTGAGTGCATCATTTGACATTGCTTCACAAGATCTCTGTAACGCTCCCTGCAAGATATTTATTTGCAGCAACACGTGTATCTTAGACAAAAGGCATTCTTTAAACTTTTACAAAGTGAAAAAACAAAAGAAAGCAGAGCAACATCATGGGATAGCATTCGGGGTATTTTGTTCCAGAAAAATAGCATTGTTTGGTGGAGGGAAACAAAATAATTCCAAATTATGAGACACCAGCACAGTATAACACATTCAGTGAGAGGATGAGGTGTAAAAGGAAAATAAAAGTATTACTAGCTTCTTATCTCTACCAATTAACGACTTATCAGTAATGCCTGCCCAACTCAGCACATGCCATATTCCTTGGAAACGTCTCCATTCCCCATTATAACTACATGACCTAGATGTCCAGGGCAAATAACACATGCAAGCAAACTTAAACAAAAAGGTGCTTGAGCTCCACTAACGCCCCACAAATGAGAACTAAGAGATGCACTTCAGCCACATCAAATTCAAAGTGCATAAGAGGTAGCGAGGAGAAGCACACCCTCTGAAGGTGCATCCTTTTACAGTACACTGGGGCCCGCATCTAGGACAAACATTCCAACTTCCGCGAATTGTCAACTTTTCAAGTTGAAAATACACGCAGCATGTGATTCTACCTTCTAGTTGGGTCCAAAATAACCATGCACCTTAATGTTTCAGTTTTCAATAGAAAATGATGCAGTCAAGTCATTTTTGAGATGCAAATTAGTTCAACCCATCAGCTGATAGGTCAAATGGTTGCAAGATTTTGAAATTCAAAAATACCAATATGTTGTTCCAGGTTTGATATTTCGAGGGTGGGGAAAATGATAGTACAGAAAATTACATATATTCAGCTTGGCCACCCACTCTAACTACATGGTAAGAGACAGTTCCACTTTATAACTGATGTCTTATGTGCTTTGCAAGGTAATATGACTACCAATCTGGTGACAATTTAGCCTGTGCCAGAAAAGCTTACATATGGAATCGTTTGGTCAGAGCATTTCTTTTCTAGCACATGAGAAAAGCAAACAAAACGAGTTTCAAAGGAGAAACATTTTTGGGCTGGTTAGAAATGTTATAAAACATCAAAGTGAAAAATATTAAAGCAAAATCCCTAGAGCCTAAAAGTAAAAACTTATCTATATCTATGGCTGATGACAAATTGAACCACATATTAGCCATGGCATTCCAAGAGAGTCGATGTATTACTTTATTCATACAACTCTTTTTTTTTTGTGAGTGTGTGTGTGTGTGTGTGTGTGTGTGACAATAAATCTCAATTTGCACACAAGTTTGTGAACAATTACAAATTGATAAATTAACCTGAACCAACTAACTAGTGGGATGCCCCAATACATTACAAAGTCTCTAAAGAATTATTAGCAAGTTATCAAGCCAAATATTCTGGTATGAAATTCGGTTTATTCCTTTTCCAATGACACAATCACTGATTGGTCCTACCAGGCAGCAAAGACATACGCAAGAAGATGATTTCCACTGGGATTGTTTACAGTTCCACTTGAACTGATTTTTGAGATGTGAAGTTGACAAAAAAATAAAAAAATAAAAAAGGAATGGGAAACCAAGAATTAATAGTTAGGTCACTTGCAAGAAGAGGCAAAAAAGTTGATAAGAAGCAATGATCCAACTACAGACTTATGCCGCCAAGAAAGACTTACCTCCTAGCAGTTCTTAACTGCCTCCGGTATTCAGCAGTGCTGCTCAAAGAATAACAACCCAAAAGAAATTCCCACACTTCAGGCCTTATGGATGGATCCACCCCCTGTTGGACAGAAAAGGCACATTAGCAAAAATGTCTTGGAGGGAAAACTTCTATCCCATCTTTTGTGTAGGTATATGTTCTTGGTTTCAAGTATGGATATGCCGCTAGGACTATTGGAGTTTCTGCATGGGCCACTTTATTATAGTGCAGGTAAATAACTCTCCAGCATTGACATAAAAAAACGTTAAACCGGCATTAAAACACACGCACCAAAAGGAGTAACCCTCGGCCTCTGTCCACCGGCAAAATCTCCAAAACTACTCAAACTAAGCTTGTAGTGACATGTTTTAAGACAGAAATATGGAGATAGGATTGATGACAGATAAGCTTCATTTTCAGTCAAAACTCAAAAGCTATTCAGAGTACATGAGATATAACCATCATGCTGGATACCAGATAATTGTTGTAATTTTTATTTACACTTTAAGATATCTTTTTCTTTGATTTGGCACTTTCAGTAGGATTCTGTGCCGGAACCAAAATGAACGCCTTTTCTACCAGCTCACCAGGATAATCTATAAATCCCAAGATAAAGCAGTCCACTGTGCATACCTAATTACTTCCCAAGTGTGGCCTATAACACTTTATGTCTAAGCCAGTGCCCTTCATACCATCCATATTCTAAGCTATAAACAAATGAACCACAATAAAAGCATCAGACAGTGCTTGAAACTAGTCATGTTGATATATTATGGTTCCCTATGCAAGTGCAACGGCTAACAACATTCTGAAATCTTATAAAGCTGAAAACTTTTAGCCATCATGAGCAATCCAAAGGCTAAGACACCTAAAGAAATACACAGAGGCAATGAGAAGGCATATCATCAATTCTTGTCAGTCCAACATCAAATATTGTTTTTAACCATTGAATTCTGACCTTCATATTGTAAAGACAGCAGAGTAAAGGAAGTATTGGAAATGATAGCCAGTAACCTCATTATATCATACAAGACTACGAACAGAAGAGAAATAATTAATATAAGACATATAAAATCTTCATATGAATACCAAAGCATCAAAATGCGACTACAACCATGGAATGAAATTATGAAAATAGAAAAACTTAAAACAAATGATTACAACCTTCTGAAGCACCTACCCCAAGAATAATTAACTTCAGTACTTTCTGAAAACCAAGAATCTTTCCTTCAGAGTCAAAGGTTGCCTGCCACTTCTCTGGCTTAAGCATTTTGTTTATCTGTTGATTTCAGAATCTAGTAAAAATCTCCACATAAATACAACAACAAACTTCACAAAATATAAAACTAAAATCAGAATACCAAAAGAACAAAATAGACCCAATATTTCATTTCCCCTGGGAAGGCACATGCTCAAATGATATGCCATTCTATACCATCAGTATATCTTTCTTTTCATCATTACCACTACAAATCAACCTTAGCTTGGTAATATTTGTTAGTTCAACATATGTGTCCCACATCGATCAGCTATTGGACTGTTATTGCGTATAAGTGTGTGTTGGGCACCCTCTCCCTTTGAGCTAGCTTTTGGGGATGAGTTCTACCCAAGCCCATTTATCAATTTTCAAACAAAAACCAATAACTTAGACAGGAATCAGCAAGCAACAAAAGTAGCAATCACTAAATCACATAATGTTAGATAGATTCGCACTTTACACAAAAGGACTCAGACTAATGGAACAGCCGGGTATTCTATGAATAATTAATCCGCAAAAGAAAGAAAGTCACCAATGCATCCCACCCAACTTTAGATTTATTTTGAGAACATGATAATAAAAAATTATTCAACTCAAAACATTGTAACGGTGAGAAACCTTAAAGAGGCACCTAAGATGGAAAAGGATCTACATGACAGAAAACATATGATAAGATGAGGTGTTAACCTTGGTACTGGAAAGGTAGCTTCTCTTGCATTTTGAGAAACTTCAACATCTAAATTGCTGGGTGCTATCGAATTTTTTTCATCTAATATTTTTACTAGTTTTATACATCCTCCTTTTGGGATGGCAGTAGCCAAGAATAGTTGTGGCAACAACTCCGACATCATTACTCACAGCAGCATTTAAACCAAAATATAACGTTCAATCACAGCCAAACTCTTTTTTTTAAGTCCCTTTTCTCAGATAGTCCCAATCAAGTACAACTCAGTAACCATCTAAGCTTGGACTGGCTAATCCAAAAGTTACTTGAAAGTAATTATTGGTTTTGGAGTGATAGTTTGAGAGGATAACATGGAAAAAGCGATTGTTATATATATATATATATATATGTGTGTGTGTGTGTGTGTGTGTGTGTGTGTACTGCAAAATGTGTGGCTTCTTCAATATACTCTGAAAAATAAGGATGAAGAAATGACGAAAAATTAGGGCCTTCTAAAGCCTTCTTTTATCAGACCCCAATTTTTGTTTGGGCTTGTTCTATAGGCAGCATTTTCTTCCCCATGGAATAAAATCCTTGTTATTTCCCATTTACCTCAAAGAAATATACTCTCCTAAAATATTATAGTCCACAAAAATCACATTGTTATATCACTTTAAATTTTCTTATAATATACCGCAAACAAGAAAACCAACCGATGCCATAGAAAAAGCAACAATCTTTGACACTCTTTACATGTTCATCAAAATCCCAAGTGATTGAAACGTACCAGTAATCAATTTTCCAGGGACAAGCAAGTAATTTCTGAGCAACCCATTTAAGCATTTAGCACAGAATAAATGTCAGTACCACATTACAAAGGCAGGCAAAACACAATAGACAAACCACTACAGAGGTTCATAGGATTATCACGACCTTTATAGGTGACTGATAGAGGCAAGGCTCTCCAATATCGCGAACTATCGAACTCACTCTCTGAAAATTCACTGTACCACCTTTTACACATTTCCATTGCTTCTCGTTAGCGTCAAAAGACATCACCTAAATACCACTATCCTTTATCTGTGCCCACTCAACTCAACCTCTTCTATCTGTATATATGCATAGCAACAGATATAAACCATCAGCACAGTCATAATTTGTAAATGGAGACAATCTACTGTAAACAAGAAAATGACGACAATTTAATATTTGTAGAAGAAGAAGAAGACACAAATCCTATGTTAAACCAAAACAGTCCGTAGCTTTTAGAACAGGCCCCAAGTGCTTCCACATAGAAAAAAGAAAAAAAAAATCAGATCTAATTAAGAGAGAAAATACTGGAATTTGACACTAACAGAAATCTAAAGAAACCCCTAGACCACATCCGACCAGAGTAAAAGGAGAATAAATGGAAGAAGAACAAGAGAAAAAAAAATCATTGCAACGAGAATTGCAATCACACAAACACATATTATCTCGTAGGACCAATAATGAATTCATACATATCAAAATGAAAGGAAAGGGAGATAAAATAGGAATGCACCTGAAGGGTGAAAAATGGAAAAACTGCAGTATCTCTGACGAACAGAGATCAGGGGAAGACGTGTTTTTGGCCCGAGACGCCATTAACATACAAAGATCGTTTTTTTGTTTTCCCCTTTTTTTATTTAATTAATTTCAAAATTATATTTTAATTCGGACTGGCCAGGCCTTCCTTTTGTATCCGAGTTTGGTGAGGTATCAGAATTCAGAAGTCAGCGATCTAGAAGACTAGGAAGAACGCCAATTCGAATTTTTAGTCATTAGAGAGAGAGAGAAAAAAAAAAAAACTATGTTATATTAATATAGTTAATATTTGATAAGCAAATTTGCCTTAGACCGGGTTAAACTAGAAATACCACGAACCAACGTCGATCTCGAGTTTTGATGACCTGCAATATGTTGAGAATAAACGAAAAAATTTATGCTTAAGTGCATAAATATGCCTTAGTTACTGAGATAGAACCTGACCACCTTCTTATTCTAGAGTGTCTTAATACCTAAGAGAGTCATAGCAAGGAAAGAGATACATTCGTATCCATTTTTCTAGCTTACCACGTTTCTAGAATATGAAATCCATTAGCAAGATATATTTTTCATTTTTAAAAAATTTTGCCCCCTCTTATCATATGGCTCTAGGGTCCCCTAGATTGTTTGAACGACTTTCCCGCCTACTTGTCATAAGCTGCAAGCGGGTCGTAACCACGACCTTCACCTTCATGACCTCCGGGTCGCGAGGTCCCCCTCTGTATTCGAGCTCCTTGAGGCTTTTCGACCTCCGGGCTCTCTGATTGGGTCAATTTGTACCTTGAGCTGCCTAAGCGAGCTTCTTGACAAGATTGTGTACTTGGCCCAAGCTAAGCCTTCTTGAACCGAGCACATCCGAGTCAATCACCTAGGTCGGTTAATCCGAGCCGTTGTGAGTGTTATATCATCTAAGCCCCCCCATTTTTGAACGATCTACCTTGACTTGTACAAGAATAATTCACTGCACCCAAGTCATCTTGTTAACCTTAAATGCCATGAATTGCACGATCTGGGAAACCACACCTTGTCATAAATGTCATTTTGAACCTTAGCACGCTCATTTTGTTTTATGTCGTAGATCTTTCCCTATATCAATGCTCGTGATCCAACAACCTTTGACATCTGTCCAATCCATCTCCCTTGGTCAATCCAGACCACCCAAACAACATTTAACCCGACAACTCCCCTGCGACCTTAGATTCTGCACTTCCCTTTTTTGCCATAAAAACTGCATAGACCTACCATCTACATTTTTACCTTCTTCAATTTTCAAACTTATTCTACAAAAAATACTCAAGTGAACATAGTATTTTCTCGATGATTTTACATTCAACGTCCGATCACTTTACCGTCCACCCTTTCTGCAACTTTATGGGTATGTACTTCTCCGGCGATCGCCAACCCTCCTTTTAATTTCTTCCTTCACAAACACCGTAAACCATGTCGAATTCTAGCAGTGCCTCTTTTACGACTTCTTTCTCTCAATCCCTAGATGAACCTTCTAGGGATGCCTCTTTGACGTTAGCCCTTTCTTACACTCTCGTCGACAGTGGACTAAGTTACAATTGTAAAAGGCAAAAGAGTCAAGGCTCTGTCTAGCCTAGTGAGAGTTGTCAAACCCAACCTTATCACTTCTTATTCCAACGACCATATCACCAATCTGCTCCACGAATGCAAGTTTCTCCGATCTTGGGACTTTAAGATTCCTAAGGAGTGCAAACCCTTTGACCAGCCCCCCTCGAGCTACTACCCTTTCTTTTTTTACCAAATTACCTCCGGTTTAAAGTGTCTTCAAGACCTGACAGAGCTCATTCAGCTCTATCTCCTCCGTTTATATCATTTTACTCTGAACTCAATCCATAACCTGATCAGGTTCACCATCCTCGACTGGTGCCGGTTAGGTAGGCTAGATGTCAACTTCTGTTTTTATTACTTCTAGCTAAATTTCTAGAAAGGTTCTTATTATCTTTCTGGTCATATTAGTGTGAACTTTTTTAAGCACTACCCTTTTAATGTCTCGACCTGGAAGAGAAAATACTTTTTTGTCTGACCTCCTCTGAATACCTTTGCGTTCTCGCCTGATTGGCTCCAAGAGATCCCTGGCCAGGTAAAAAAAACCAAAATCATCTGTATACTATAACAAACTGATTCTCGAGCTCGCTACTCGCTGATAAGCTTCATCTCCTCCCTCATTGTGGGTTGTCTGCCTGCGTATCACTGACCTAGGTAGGCACTCTACCTGCTTTATTGCCACTATTCTTCTTGTTAATGACTTCAAACATGTTACTAATTTTGCTTATGCATAATCTCTTTTTAGCTCGATGGCTGTCGACCCCACCCCAGACTCTAAAGAAGTAAAATCAATTGTTGACCATCTGACCACAAATAAGATAATACAACTTGAGCCCCTCAGCCAAAAAGAGGCCATACCTGAGCTTCCCACGAAGCCTGACCATACCAAGTTGATACGTACCGGCCTCAAAGGAAAATGGGCCTAAACAAACAAGAAAAAGAACAAGTCTGCACCACAAAGTGGCTAAAGCACAAATAATACAAAACGGATACCCAAATCTGAATGATGGGTAGTCAATCTGGTCTATCCGCACAAGAGTACGGAGGCGGAGAGGAGCGTCATCCGAGTGAAAATTGTGCCTCTGGGGACATGAGGCACCGATGCATGCTAGGTAGTCACCGGGTCAGCTCTCCTCGCGGAAGATGTGCGAGATCTCGTAGCGAACCAATTAAAGTGTGGATCAGATGTGCATGAGCGGGTGTTCAATCTGCCACGAGCCCTGGTGCCCTGAGGTTAAGAGGGTGGCGATAGCTGCAGCATCCAACTCAATCCAAATGTGAGTAAAGATAGAGGTTGCAATCTGAAGATTGATATGATGCGCGTTAACCTCTGCATCAAAGCTTGAGGAGGCCTGAAGAAGGGCGTAGACGGAGGTAATGAGAGCTCCGTTGTGATCCCTAATCAGGCCCCCGCCTCCGGCGACTCTGGTGAGTTAGTCGAAGGATCCCTCAGTGTTAAGCTTAACTCAAGGGGGGTCGGGTCTCAGTCAAACAACGACACTGGGGTGTGGGTGCTGGACACGTGACAGTGGAGACGACATGAAGCGGTAGCGGCATGAAGCCTGTTCTGTCTCTAGGCGTGAGTCTGCCAAGAGTCGATATGAGGGAGAGATGTCAATCAACCAACAAAACAATGTGAGAGCACATAAAAGTAATAACACCATGCTTCGCATTATCTTTCTCTGTCCACATGAACCATAGGATCAGACAAGGAATGAGAAAGCCCACGCGTCTAAAGTTTGTGCGCTGTGGGAAAAAACTCAGAAGCATAAAGAAACTGTCTCTGGTGGGTAGGGGTATATGAGTATATGTGGCGAAATGCTTCCATACTCTGTCAACATCCTCGTTCTCTAAAAACAAATGGAAAAAAGTCTCAATCTGGAAATCACCGGTCTCGATACAACAATAACACCATGAAGGGAAGGAAACCCCCCTCTCTTGCAATACAGAGTCAATCGAAATCCGACGCAGAAGTGAGCACCAAAGAAAGACGGAGATGGTCAGGGTAAGCAAGTCAGTCTAAAAGGCCCCAAAGAAAAGAATAGGCCTATCACCCAGCCGTACTTTTCCCTAACCCAAGGTCGTAGAAAAAACACCCAAAGATGTAAGTCTCCACCTCATACAGTCCGAACTATCCTCCGAGATAGAAATATGCTGGATTTGCTCAAATAATCTGTCACTAAAACCCGCTCTAGTACCCAACTCCCTCTCTAACTTATCCCCATCCCAAGTCCCATCGGTCCACAGGTCCTTCACCCGCAAGGAAGTGGAGTGGGTGACATGCCCGAAAATGGCCCCTCACCAAACTCGTCCCAAAAGCTAACATCTCCCTCACCCAGCGTCCACAAGATGTGCTCCTGGGCACGCCTACCTACCTTGGTGAGCTGCCTTCACTGTCTACTATCATGTTTGGTGATCGTCACCATATAGGGATGACAGACACCTCTAAGGCAATACTTCCCGCATAGGTATTGAGCCCAAAGCCACTTGCCATCTCGGAAGCACCACCACATCTTATAAGAGAAGGCGGTGACTACGTCCGATAATCTGCGGATCCCAAGGCCACACTCGGAAAAAGACCGACAAATGGAGTCTTATTTCACCTAGTGGTGTTGTCTCTCCCTCCAAGAGTCATCCTCGTGACACCAGAAATAATGAGCCATGATCTGATCTAGCTCGTGGAGAGTGGATCTAGGGGGATCGAGAACCATAAAGAGATGAAGTTAAACGATGTTGAGGGTGCTCTTGATCAACATGAGTTGACCCCGAAAAGAAAGATGTCTATGCGACCAACTGGAGATTCGATCAATCATCCTCTGCATGACGTCAGCAAAGACCGCTCTCGTGAGGTGGCCCTTGTACAGAGGGGCACCGATGTAGGTGATGGGAAGGTCGCCGTGCACGAAACTTGTACGCTCGTGGACCCACTGCGCCCATTGGTCCGCAATGAGAGGGGAGAGAGTGAAGGTGATCTTCTGCACAATGATGTACTGACCGGTGGCCAATCCATAGTGCTCAAGAAGGTGCATAAGCTCGACCAGTCCATCATTATTCGCACGAGTGAAGATAATAATGTCATCCACATAAGAGAGATGTGAGATGAGAGGACCATAGTCACGAGGGTTGTAGATCATCCTCGGGTTATCACAGATGAAGGTGTTATGGCAGTGAATGAGGTAGTCCGCCTCTAGAACAAAAAGCGAGGAGAGAGGGGGTCCCCCTGCTGGAGGCCCTTAGAAGAAGAGAAGAAATCGGTGGGGCTACCATTAACCATAACCGAGAACGTGCAGTGCTCCACACACGTCTCCACAAAATTAACCCATCGCTCGGGGAAGCCCATCCGGACCAGCACCTCCCTGAAAAATGGCCACTCGACCCTATCCTACACTTTAGCCATGTTTAACTTCAGCGTAAGGTTCGAGACTCGCAACTGATCCGCATGGAAGATGTCGTGGATCATCTCTTGGGACATAAGGATGTTATCAATAATGACCCGATCCTTGACGAAACCACTCTGGTTCAAAATGATGAGAGAAGGAAGGAGAGGGGTAAGGCGCCCTTGTTGGTCACATTAGAGAGGTTAATAGGTCTGTAATATGACCAGAAGCTCGGGCATGGTCTTTTGGGGATCAAGACGACTGAGGAAGCCATG